TTCAGTACAAATCGGCAATTTCATACTTTAACCCCTATTACTAACAACGTCTCAGGACTATATTTCTTTTTTCTTTTGTTCGATAACTTTTAATAATTCATCAGATTTTACTTTCATACAAAAATAAATAGCTCGCTCTACTCTAAACCATAGTTTCCGAGAGGGGTCCCTACCGCCCCCCAGTGGGCGCAGAAGAGTCCAAAGAGGGCGGTAGGTGCCTCGGAAGCAATTGGGGGGCGTTAACACTGTCCATCGGGGGCTACTGCATTTGAAAAAAATAAATTATCTACAATAATCATAAAAATCTTTATCTCTTTACAAAGCTATTATAAAATATTAAAATAATTTACATGAAGTGCCACCTTTGTAAGAGACTGGAGTCCATACTAGGAATTAACCTGTGTGCCGGATCTCCAAGCTCTCCCCATCCGGATAATTATGATGTTTAGAAAGGTAGCATTACAATGTAAATATGTTACAAATGTCACTTTGAACATTACGGTTTTACAAGATTGTAATTGTAAATAGAAAATTAATATCAACTACGTTACCAAGGTTATTAAATAATCAACCTCAATGTCGTCTGTTATCTTTGAATAAATTGAATAAAAAATGAATCGACGTCGTGCCGTGTGTCGTGTCACGTTGCGATATAGTGCCGTGAATTTTTACGTAGCTCGTTGTAGATTTCCACGATACGACGTCGCATCGTAAATCGATGCCGCGTCGTAACCCGTCGTGTTCCCATTATGTCGTGGCGACAGATAATCGTGCAGTTTAAAGTGTCGTGGTTGCATATTTAAATGGAGTTGTTCACACATAGAACAACATGATTAACTGTCGTTCACAACTTTTTTGACCTTACGACGACAGACTGTCGTAACAATACGAAGAGCAGACGGCAAATAAAACGTCACGATAAAAATGTAACGACAGATAATCGCAGCTTCAAACGATTCTGTCGTGCAAACGACAAGGCGGCTGCCGTGAACCGATAAATTGTCGTCACGATCTAGTGGGAACAGCAAGACACGACAGTCGTTCAACGATAAAATAAACGTCCGCGACACAGGCATTACAGATTAGTTGGCGACTGTCGCCCAACTATAACAAAAACGTTACGACATAATGGGAACGCGCTCTAAGTGCACAAACACACCAGCTGCAGCCGTGCCAATTGCATTCAAAGCGCTTTCCTATCTGTGATGCTGTTGGAATTAAGTCATATGCCTCGATCCCGAGCAGAGATAGCTTAGTGAGAGAAGATTTGCTTGAATGAATAGAATTATTTAAATTAGATTGGTCCTTTACGTTGCATCTTTTACAAATAAAAAGCCCCATATTTATTACACAGAATAATTCAAAACAAAATGGATTTAAAACACAAAAATAATCTCACCAGTACTTCCATCGTCAAACTTTTCAACATAAAGGGCTGGATACACTCTCGAAACAAATAACCTCAATTTTGAAATTTTCCCGCCGTCCGCCATTACAGATGATAGCGGCGTCAAGATGGCCGCCGCTCTGTGGTAGCCTAGACGAGCGTCCCAATGGGCCCGACGTGTAGAATTACCGTATATTTTTAGGCGGATTGAAGAGGTATCCTTGAAACAATTTTTAATGCATGTTGGTAAACTGATTATTCTTCTTAATTGTATGCTGTTTGGCCGAGCATATTGAAACAATACTGTTTTGTTACTCTTAAGTTAAACAGAATCTGTGTTTGTACAAATAAATGAGTTATAAATTAAATAAAGTGCAATAATTCTGTAATTATCCTATATCACAAATAACTTGATAGCTCTGTAGCTATCAAGTTATTTGTGATATAGGATTCTTTGCGCAGAAAACACCTTGGTAGATAACTCCACACTACCTGCTTATAACAATAAGCTCTATTGTTTCGATTATGGCCGATATAGATACCATTGAATTTAACAATATAAGTTTTTAATTAATTCTTACCTCCCAAGGCGCAACCCCTTGCTCACACCCTGTAAGCTCAGCGCCATGCGTCACAATCTTACAACCAGCATACAATCTACCCGCCGACACAAGTTTGGACAGCATTCGGTCTGTACTCGCCTTTATAAAATACCAACCGTCTGTCAGGAGAAGCTCTAAGTTTGTATGGTTTTGTGGTATACTGTAAAAGGTAACAATTACTTGTATTTTCTGGGTAATCTCAAATTTACTGTCTTTAAATGAGTAAATTTGCAAAATTTAATTTAAGCTGAGTTTGTAGGTAGATTTCATATCGATCGGTCCCTTTATCTCGCAATCTATATCTTTAGGACGCTCTCGTCAATCTTCAAGTTTCGGCTGTCGCTTCATTTCTATTACGCGCAAAGTCAATTTCAAGAAGCTTATATAAACTTCTTGGTCATTTCCAATTGTTCGAACCACAAGCGATTGAAATATTTAGAACAATGAAACTATAGAGTCGCTTTGATTTTAATCTTATTTTTAAAATGATTTTTTTATTAAACGTTAGCAATAACTAACAAAATATTGTTGTACTCGTTTTACGCCTTGGGATTACCTATCAGAAGTCAGAAACTACATTTGCCCGAAATAACGTTAGCTCGAATTTTCATAATGTCAAATGTATTTTTTTAGAAAGATTACAAAACAAAAGCTAATTTTGCCTTAGTGAAAAGCATCCAAATTACTCGAAAGCGTAACAGTTTTTTTATAAATCGGTTTTCGGAATTACGGACATTTGGGTTTACGTTTAGTTGGAATATCGGTACATTTCTTATAGTACACACTTATTTTCACATTTGTAGTAATATTGGTACCTATGTATCTGCCCAACTCTTTATTATTTCTTTAAGTGAATTTGTTCAAAATTCGACATACTAATATATATAAAAATTAATTAATATTTACGATAAAGGCTAATCCATTACTCTTGTGTTCAAGTAATTTTCAGTCAAAGCTAAATAAGGTGCATTTTGTTAAGTTTCCAGTAGAAGCTGTATATGGTGTATTCGGGCCGTTGAATTGTTGCAAGCAAAATTAAGCAGTACTGCAATGATGTTACAATTTAAATTAAATGTTTTAGTTTTTTATATTTCGTTACATGTCACTACGTTTGTATAGGCTAAATTCGGACATTTTTTTCGTGTTTTTGTATTAGATCCGACGTCCATTTGTTGGTAGGTCAATGGTAAGTAGTGACTAGAGGTAGGCGTTTAAACGAAAAGCACTTTAAAAAGTTTGCTTTTTAAAATAAGCACGCTTTTCAATGTAAGCGTTAACAACGTGCTTCTGTTTCAAGTCCCGCCATCTATGTTTCCTAAACAAATTAATTCATCACTGTGAATAATATTGCCCTCCTTATCATATCTAATCTGCCCTCGTAACGAAAAAAGGCACAACGTCTACTCTTGCTTTTCGCTATCAACAAAATGCAAAATTTTTTAAACATAAATATCTAGTAGATTTACTTTCATACAAAAAGAAAAATATTTAAATAGATCGCTCTAAACGGTGATAACTCTGTGCAGTAGCAAATCACACGGCCGGGAAGAATCGCTAAACAACATACTACGAAATACAGATCAATTTTCAAAAATCAAAAAGATTTGTAGATACAAAGTGTTACGCCGGGTTCACGAGTCTTTCACTTGCGTTTTTCGCTTGCTTGCGTGGCTCGCTTCGCGCATACTCAAAGATCTGTTCACGAGTCGCTCGCTTGCGCCAACCGCTAGCTTTGCGTTGGATTTCTTTGCGTTGCGTGAGTTTGATATCTAGCAAGCTTGATATTTCCACGTAAGCAACAGGAAACATTTGCGGAGGACAGCACCACTGGCCAATCACAGAGCAGTAGCGTCCACTACAACCAAATCAAAGGCAAGGCTAAACAAATTTTGTACGCCGTGTACCCAGCCAACGCAAGGAAACGAAAAACGCAAGCGAAAGACTTGTGAACCCGGCTTTAGGTAGTACAACAAAAACTTCTAAGTTTATTTTAAATAAAGGCGTTGTTCCTTTAGTGGTACTAAAATAAATGGAAAATTTAACCTGGCTATTAGTTGGCTTATTGAAAAGAGTTCTCAAAATAAAGAAAGTCTGAATTAAAAACAAATTATTTTTGACCTGCCATTTCTGGAAAATCGTTAGGGATTATTAATGAAAAGTAAAACGGAACACAACCCCACGGAACGGAACAGGTTTTTATGTATTTTTTTGACAGCTCAGATGTCAACGACAAGAATGACTGTCGTAATTTAATTAGCCAATTAGAATTAAGATTTTGAATATTTTAGCGTTGAAGCGTTGCTGATTTTTGGACTTTTTTATGTATCGCAGTGTTGCTGCTAATTAATTTTACATATCTACCACACTTTTGTTCTAAATAAATAAAAAATGCAGGCCAGAATATTTATTATTATTATTTTGCTAAGTTGGCTGCTCAATAATAATTCCGTATAAGCTTTTATTGTTTTGTAAAAACTCATGGAACAAGAGTCTCAAAACTTATGAACACATACAGCATTTCCAGTTTGTCTAGAGCATAAACGTGGAAATTTCTATTCGGGAGCATTCGGAAATTCGAAGATTGCCGAGAAACATTAAGAAAATAGTTGTATAGTACTTGTGGGCCGTTAAATATAAAATAAAATATGTTATACCTGGTTACTGCTTTTCCATCTGCCAACACTGCAACGATACAAAGAACCAATGTTTTATAAGACGTGTCGTCTTTCTCCATTATTTTTCTCAACGCTGGTCTTCTAACATCATACAACTCTGTTTTATATCTGTACTTCAATTGTTCAAGAACATTCTTTGCGCTAGTTATACCTTTCATAGTTCTCGGAAACCTTATTTCGTAAGAAATTAACTTCCATAATATTAGTTTCATATGTATGTCGAGCCAACCTTCTGGTATTAATTTTGTGTTGACGTTTTCCATAAAAATGTTTTTGATAGCCATTGTAGTTAATTTGCAATTTGATATGTCGTTTCTTTGGCCGAAAAATTCAAAGTTCAGTAAATCTTCAAAAGAAAATTTAAAAATGCAACAATCAATTTCTAATTTCATTGATGAGTTGTCGTTTTCAATATTTTGCAGGTCTTTTAAGGTGTATTTCTTACTTTTCTTATAATTGTCATTGAAGTCAGTAACATTTTTGGAATCTTCACCTAACTTTGGGTTGTCACTTTGAGATATACATATTTTGTCTTCTACAACTTTTTGACTGTACGGAATTTGAAATTTCTTGCGTCTTTTAGCTTTCGGACAAGATAATATAGGGCTTCCAGATCGCTTAGACGCCTTTGGCGTTGATTCTTTGAAAAAATCCTCCGTATGTAAACTTTTTTCGAAATGATTTATCACTTGCGTATCAATTATGCTTTCAATGACATCCTCATCTTTGAGTTCTTTAGTTTTTTGTACATTTTCTTTAAAGACGGCTTTATCATTTTTATTTTCTGTGTCCAAATTAGGGAAAAGATTTTTAGATCTTAATAAGACCTCATTTGGAACTTGAACTTTAGTATTATATGAAGTTTTGGATCCAAAATCTCCAGGTTCGCTACTAGATTGAGACATAATAATATTGGGTTTGTCACTTTTAGGATGCTTTAAATCAAACTCCAGAAATACTTGTTTTGATTTCTCTAATGCTGCCGTTGAAATGTTTATGGTTTTTTTACTTGCAGTTTGAAATCCTTGGAAATCAGAAATATGTCCTGCATCTAATTCAATATCCTGAAATATTTTGTTATGTTTCAATAATTCCTTATCGGAAATTTTCACTTGCTTGTTACCTTTTTCAACAAAATCATTGTTATCGACAATATCTTCAAACATTCTCTTACTCCTTGCCAAAGCCTCTTCAGAAATTTTTACATCCTTGTTACTCGCAGTTTGAAAACCTTTTAATGAAGATATCTCCTCTATGACTTCTTCGTTTTGAGAACTAACTATATTTTGCAAGATCCTTTTACTTCTAATTAAAGCATCCTTCGATATTTTTACTTCTTTGTTGCTGGCTGTTTTGAATCCTTGATAACCAGAAGCCTCTGCCTTATCTTCTGTATTCGTTTCATCCATATCTTTGAAAATCTTTTCACTTTTACAATTTTTAAAGTCATGGTTGCCAGTTGTTTTGCATCTTTTTAAACTAATAGCATTGTTTTCTGTAACCGTTGGTTTAGTATAAATATCTTGAAGCACTTTTCTACTTTTAGCCAATGCTTCCACTGATATCGGTACTTTTTTATTACTGGCCGTACGAAAACCATGAAATTTAGAAGATGATGACACATTTTCACATGGACTTTCCATATCTATAACATTAATATCTTGAAATATTTTCTTAGTTCTAGCTAAAGCTTCAGCTGATATTTTAACTGATTTATTACTTGCAGTTTGAAAACCTACAAAGTCAGAGGCCGAAGGCATTATCTTTGGGCCTTGTGGAACTTTGAAATCGTCAGCAATATTTATATCTTGAAATATTTTCTTAGTTCTAGCTAAAGCTTCAGCTGATATTTTAACTGATTTATTACTTGCAGTTTGAAAACCTACAAAGGCAGAGGCCGAAGGCATTATCTTTGGGCCTTGTGGAACTTTGAAATCGTCAGCAATATTTATATCTTGAAATATCCTTTTACTTTTAGCTAAAGCCTTTGCAGAAATGGTTACTAATTTGTTACTAGCAGTTTCAAAGCCCTGGAACATAGTTGGCATATTTTCATTGGAATATTCTTGGTTGTTCTCGAGATCAGCTTCTACGTCTTCGAAAATTTTCTTACTCTGAGCTAAAGCTTCAACTGATATTTTAACTGGTTTATTACTAGCGGTTTGAAAGCCTTGGAATGAAGTTGAAGGCATATTTTCATTGGTATTTTCTTGGTTGTTTTCATTATCAGTAAATATGTCTTCGAAAACTTTTTTACTCTTAGCCAGGGCTTTAACTGGTATGTTAACAGGTTTATTACTAGCTGTGTGAAAACTTTCAAATTTAGTATTTGACATATTTTCATTTTTTTGGCCTGGATTATCTATATTTTGTAAGACCTCTTTCATTTTAATCAGTGGTTCGGTTGAAATTTCAATATCTTTATTGCTTGCAGTTTTAAAACATTGAAAGTTTGGTTTCAATATATAAATATCGTTGATCGTGTATTTTTTGTCTATTTTATTAGCTTTGATTTTTTGCGGATATTTTTCAAATGGTTCAATCACTCCACAATTTAACATAGCTTCTTCAAATTCTCTAACTTCTTCGTTATTTTCATGTTCAAAGCCATAAAAAGGTGCCTCTTCGTCACTTTCAGTTTTGTAGAAATCTGTACCGTTGTTTCCAGTATTATTAGTTTCCGCATCAGGACATGGTTCAAAATTCTTAATATTATTTAGAGGTATGATGAAATCTGCATTATCAAAGTCACTGATTTCGCTTGTTTTTAATAAAGTAACGTTATTTACTAAAATTTCATTATTGTTAGCACTTTCAAAATCAGTATAAGGCAAGTCTTTAGTTTGAATTTCTTTATTAATAGAATGCTCGTTTATATCTTTGTTTTCTTTGTGAGATTCTGTAGCTTCCTCATTATTATATAATGAATTAGCATGCAAAGATTTTTCCTTTCCTTCGCCTCTCTTCATTATTTTGTTAACATTGGATGGATCATCTTGAACAATGAAACTGGATTTATTTATCAAGTCTTGAAATATGACTTTACTTTTTTCAACTGCAATATCTGATATTTTAATACTCTTATTACTAGCTGTTTTAAATCCACCCAATTGTATGTCAGTACTGTTATTTGGTGAAATCACAGATGACACGTCATTAGATCTTTTATTAATTTCAGTTGTATACGTAAGTTTCCTGTAATCGTTGAATATTTTAATTATGTGTTTATAGTCTACCTCGAAAGATGATTTATTTACACTGTCTTTGTGCCTGTTTATTTTGGTGTTTTTTTCTTTCTTTTCATACAAATTAGTTTTTATTTCAGATTGTAAACAACATTCCAATTCATTTTTGTCTTCAATGAATGTATCTTTCGTGATGTAGTCAACATGTTGGCCAAGAGTGTTCCTTATGTTATTTTCTGTGTTTTCGGATATTTTAACAGAATTTGCATCCAAGGAACATTTCATGGTTGTGTCTTTTAGACAAATATCTTGAAATACTTTTTTACATTTTTGTGTGGTTTTTTCTGATAAACTTAACCTCTCATTACAAGCTGTTTCAAATTCTCTAAATATTTGTCCCCCTTCTTTCGGATCCTTCACTGTATTTGTCTCTTTATATTGACACCTTGGCTTCAAATACAATTCAGGTATATTTTCTACATTTTCGCTAACATTGAACTTATTAAAATCACAACCTGATATCGTCTTAGCCAGTTCTCTAAATACTTCAACAGCTTTTACATCCGCTATTCTCAAATCACAAGAATTATCAGTTGTAATAAGATTTACAATGTTCTTTTCAGTTTTTAGTTTTTCATTATATTTCTTAGTTTTATTATTCTGTTTAGAACATGGTAAGATTTGACTTTGTACAAAACCAATAGCGTCTTCTGAATCTACATCCATTTTTAGTTCCGAATTTGTCAAAAGTGCTTGTACATCTTCAAAAATATTTACACCGGTATCTATCTCTATTTTGTTTTTCAGATTTTGTATCACAGTTTCCTCCTCTTCACTATTTGTACCTTCATTTTTAACATTACTTTCACATAACTTTACTAATTCCTTTAAAGGCTTTTCATCTTTAGTAAAATCTAAAATATCTATAGCTTTAGAAAACGAATCGGTAGAAATCGTTATGGACTTATTACTCGCAGTATGAAAACCAACATACATAGTTTTATCTACAACACCAACTTTCTCATAAAATGACGTTTCCAAAACACATGTGAAAGGCAGATTTTCAGTCTTTAAGTCAGAATCTACCTCCTCATCACTGCTAAATAATATTTCATCTTCAAAGAAATTTATTTTCGCATCACTTCTTTCTATAGGAATTTCCAACAGTTCATCAAGTTTTTCAACTTTCATTTTACATTGGTCTAAAGGTATAATTGGACTTACTCTATCATCCTTTTTAGTTGCGAGTATATCTAAATCAATTGGATTTAGTAAAGGCTTTCTAGTTGTATGTATGAGTAGTTCCTTACCAATTATTTGCGAATTGATTATTTGTTTTGCTGTTTCGAGATTTGGACTTTCTTCAATAGCAGGGACCGCTATTTGCTCGAAATTTTCAAAAGTATCAAGATTAAACACTAAGGGTGAAAACAATTTAGGCAGTTTAGGCTTTCCATCAAGGATAGGACTTAAAGGAATGTCAGTATCTTCTATTAATATATCTAATTGATCATTGTTTTCTATTTCAATGCATTCATTAAAAATTTGTGTGTAGTTTTCCATCTGATTATCTATTGTATTCATTTCAAAGTCATCATTTAGGCATTCAATTTTACTTGTTATCTCATTTTTAAGTTCCTGTTTTTTGATAGGCAAACTATTATTGTGAATATGCGGATTGTTTTTAGGAGTTATGTCGTTCATTATTTGTTCATCTTCGTGGACAACAATATCAGTTCCCGAAATTAGATTTCTAGTTTTAGCATCAAGACTGTTGTGGTATTCTTTCAAAAAATGTGTATTTTCTATAATAGGATGATTGGTGTCTGTATTTTTTAAGTCATGTTTTTTGTTCAGATCTGGATCTTTTAACGATATGTCTATGATTGGAAAGGGTGACGTGACTATGCTTTTGGTGATTGTTTCATCTGAAATGAGGATATAGTTTAATATTTTAACATACATAATACTTGAACATAATATTTGAAATGTCAAAGTTTGGACACTAAATTACACCATAATAAGAACATTTATTATTTAACCCAGTCTGTCTAAAATCGAATTTTGTTGATGCTTTGATCTATTCACATTATGTGTATAATTGTATTATATACTAAATACATTACACAACATGAAAACTTCTTTACAATCAGAACTTACTCCTACAGCTGTAATTATATTCGTGAAATTATATTCGTTAAGGGGTGATTCACGTAATCAAACCGTTACGATATCGTAGCGATTGAGTCGTCGAACTGCTTTTTCGTATTCACGTGTGACAGCAAACGTCAACTAGTCCAATTTTAAAGTCGTTCGATTCAAATGTCGTTAACGCGTATTCTGGTATAAATGAATGGAACTTAAATTGAATCGAACGACTTTAAAATTGGACTCGTTGAAGTTCGACTAAATCGCTACGATTTCGTAACGGTTTGATTACGTGAATCGCACAACTATTAATGGCACTAAACGTTTTTTTGAAAGAACAAATACAAGTCAAATCTGAAAATATTGTATCATTTCCAGTTCACATATAGTACATACCTTCATCATTTCCAATACTCTGATGCTGAAATGTTAAGTCAAACTCCTGAGTAATGCCTCCAGGGTCCATAGCTTCAACATCATGGATGATATTCAGCAATTGTGTGTCTGATAAACCCTGTGTTTCAAATTTTGGTAACGGTTTTTGGTGGAGTACCTGTGCAACAAATAGTAACTTTATAGCCATATCACGTTTGTATATGTCCTCCATTTACTTTAACCTTGTAGTTGTATCACATTTGTATATATATCCCACCGCCCAGTATAGTTCTTCTCTACATAGGATTACAGGACGTAGTTCACTAAGCTAGCAAAATATGGGAACAGAAGTTATGTTCAGTACTGACCATTTAATATAAATACTCTTTTATTGCAAAGAAAGTCAATGTTACAAAATAAATCAAAAGGCAAACAACAGGTATAAAGCGCCTTTATTGCTAGATAGCAATCTCTTCCAGGTTACGGGAAATCCTTAATAGTAATTGACTAAAGCGGAACAAGTGCTCACTATACAGAGTATTTTTTTTAAATGGGTCAATATGGGGAAATCCGAAACCATAGAAGATACAAGGACCTGTCTGAGGAAGCAGTAAGTCTTTTTAAGTGAAAACAATTCTGGCATAGTAAATTTTTTGATCAAGCATCAGTTACCCATAGAAACGAATGAAACTTATCAATTTTTTTTGTGCTGATCAACTCAATTTTATGTCAGGATCATTTCATTGTATGGGATGAAAAAAATCGAGACAGCAGAAATGGGTCACATTGCATAAAATGTTTTTCATAGAAAACATATAAAATTGACTAATTTGTTTTAATGCTGACAGATTTAGCTTCTTATAAAGATGTCTTCATTGTATTGGCAGAAAAAAATTGGGACAGGAGAAGTTGGTCCAATTGTTGAATATTTAGAGCTTCCATTTTTCTTTGGTATGAAATTTGTTTAAATGAAAAAAAATCTGTACTGTATGTTAGGTGTGCAAGTCTTCTTATTTATTACACTTAATTTTAGAATAAGTAAAAAAATCCTTTATTTTTATTATCATTTTTCTAGAAAAAGTGAATGTAATTGTATCTACTCTAGCCATATTCAATGTAGAATAAATGTCAACAAACAAAATCATGTTATGATTTTCAGGGTTTTCACCTTCAGACTGTTTCGCAGTTACAATGTTAATATTGTTATAATTATTAATACAAAGATCGAACACTCAGAAAAAACACTCAGAAAAAATTCCTTCGATCCGGTCGGATTCGAACCGACGTCTTCTTGCATACCGTGCCAGACGCTATACCAACTAAACCACGGAACGAACCAACGGACCTCACGAATTTTTCTACGTGCTTGCGTCGTGTCTTTGTACTTGGTCTTTCAACGACTTTTTAGTCGTAGCGCCATCTATGAGAAATCTATTACAGATTTATCACCCAGTTAGTACCTTTACAGCTACCAGTCCTGGCGAGAGATGTCGCTATTCACTGTATTAATTAAATTTTTATTGAATTGATATTCAATTATTTTTTGTGAAATTACTCCACTAGTTTGTTATAATTATTAATACAAAGATCGAACACTCAGAAAAAATTCCTTCGATCCGGTCGGATTCAAACCGACGTCTTCTTGCATACCGTGCAAGAAGACGCTATACCAACTAAGCCACGGAACGAACCAACGGACCTCACGAATTTTTCTACGTGCTTGCGTCGTGTCTTTGTACTTGGTCTTTCAACGACTTTTTAGTCGTAGCGCTTAGTGGAGTAATTTCACAAAAAATAATTGAATATCAATTCAATAAAAAATTTAATTAATACAGTGAATAGCGACATCTCTCGCCAGGACTGGTAGCTGTAAAGGTAGTAACTGGGTGATAAATCTGTAATAGATTTCTCATAGATGGCGCTACGATAAAAAGTCGTTGAAAGACCAAGTACAAAGACACGACGCAAGCACATAGAAAAATTCGTGAGGTCCGTTGGTTCGTTCCGTGGCTTAGTTGGTATAGCGTCTGGCACGGTATATAAGAAGACGTCGGTTCGAATCCGACCGGATCGAAGGAATTTTTTCTGAGTGTTCGATCTTTGTATTAATAATTATAACAAACTAGTGGACTAATTTCACAAAAAATAATTGAATATCAATTCAATAAAAAATTTAATTAATGTTAATATTTTACCATTGACTTGCAAATAAATGGATGACGGGTCTAATACAAAAACCACGAAAAAAATGTCCCAAGTCAACCTATTTAAACGTAGTGACATGTAAAGGAATATGAAACAGCTAAAACGTTGAATTTAAATTGTAATGTCATCGCAGTACTGTCTAATTTTGCTTGCTTCGCTGTCAGTCGAACAAACAAAGACTAAAGCGTGAATGACGCTCTGTATACGATTTTAACGCCCTATAAGTTCGGACACTTTTTAGCGCGGGCCCGACATCCATATAATTGTAAGTCAATGCATGCTACATCTAAAGTGAAATAAGCATTGTATAAAATATTTGCATGCCAAGTTTGTGAAATTTACAATCTAATATAATATATTAAAAGAACTGAATTATTAACTACATTTTTCAGCGAATAAATTAAAAAAAAAATAATTTAAAAATATATCTAGTATTCTAAATTCCAATTACACAAGCAGGCTGTGACCAGAGCACGCCTAAATAATTACCATTGACAAAAAATGTTCTTTTCACTATCGAGGCTTTGTTATTAAACATTCTATATTGAATTTGGCTAAAGTATAGTGTTTTGGGGCATTTTTTATTTAGGCTCAACTGTACATTACCATTGCACGAGTTGAGAGTTGAAATTAATATGGTGAATAGATTACATAGTTAGCAGTGTAATCCTAAAATATTAGCTTTAGGAAACTCGTAGTTTTGATAATAAAAATTATTGAAATATTCGAAAATATATGATAGGAAACAGGTTTTATAGGTTAGGAAAGCACAGCGTTTGGTTGTTGCAGTATTTTTTTTGAAATAACGCAAAAAAATAAACATTTTCGTAAAAAAAATGAATGATTTTTTTTTACGAAAATGTTTATTTTTTTGCGTTATTTCAAAAATTTTCCGCAGTATTGAATTAAACAGCGCAAATTAATACGTAATTGTAAATTTAACATAGAAATTTACTATAATTAGTATGTAAGTTTATATTTTTGAACAATTATTTTTTGTTGCAAAAAAATAACGAAACGCGTAAAGAACGCCATGTTGTTTGTTGTTGTTTACTGTTTGATGTATGCATCAATTAGGATTTTGCGTTTTTGCCTGGTTTTAGGTTTAAATTTAGTTTTTCATATAACACAGGAAGTGGGGTTGGGGGGGGTGGTTTGGGGGTGGGTTTTTCCCGCTAGGGGTTCGGGGGGAGGGGTTTACCCCGCTCTCTGGTGCGAAAACATGATTTTTTGAGGTTATTTTTTTCGAATTTTCAAAAATTAATATCTCGAAAACTATTAACTTCCTAACTTTGAAACTTTGCACGAAGGGTTCCCTCCCCTCCCCCCTTCCTCCCACCCCCCTTCCACCCCTCAAATCGTGCGATGGTAATGTACAGTCCTTCCTTTATTTATTTTATTTATTTATTTATATTAAGCATAAGCAATTTCCCTTTTCGCGGCGTTAATATTCTGTTAGAGAATTTAGTACGTATAATAATTCCGTTGTCTTCTTACCTCATCACTCCCTGGCATCGTGTTCACAGGCATAAACGTAGGTTTTTTACACTTACTGTTAGACCCTGACGTTTTCCTATCATCGTTCACACAATCTGCGTTCTGTATAGCGCGAATTTGCTTCGAAAGATTAGACAAAATACGCGATTTATTTAGCTTTGAATTTCCTGGATTTGTAGACTTATCGTCTCTATATAGGCCGAGGAGCTGTCTTGTTCGCTGTTTTTTTAACACCGACTCGAAATTTGAAATAATTTCCAAGTCCTTATCCATGTTTTATTGTTTTACTATGTCGGATAACCTTTACAAGAAGTTCAGTAACTTTGTAAATATCATGTAAGTATGTGGTCCAATTAGCAAATTACAGCTACAAGATTATAGAAACAGTTGTGTAGTTTGGATGAACACTTGTTTTTAGGTATTTACATATTTTCCACTATAAACTAAACAAAGAAAGGAAAAATGAAATACGAGCGAAAAATCTTGTTTTGACTTTTGTGACGTTTCTTTAATCAGATGTTTTAAATATCTTTTTTCCATCATAAAGATATAAATACGTCTTAACGAAAAAAGATTGTAGTTTTTGTTATCATATCTCTGACATCACAAAGTAAAAAAAAGTGTTATTATGCAAAATAATATTTTGGCAATAAATGTAAATTTTCATAACCTAAAGTCTTTTTGGCATATTGTTTTTTTGACTTGTATCGTGTCTCTGCGTAAATCGAATTGTATAGCTTTCGTTCATAAATATAAATGCATGAGACCTTTTTAATATAAAATGTTAGTAAAAGTTACTTTCCTATTCCTAACTCAAAAATGTTAAAGTCTTTAGTGAATAAAATAACTTTAATATTGCTCGTGCAGGTTCATTATTCAAATTATATGTTATGTGCAATATATTAAGTTCAGAATTGAAAAAATCTAATTATTCCTGAACGAAGGAATGCTTGCTTGATCTGAGAAAACAGCTAGCGAGAAATCTCGAAAACATTGCATTTCATGCAAATTGATCAATTACAATTTACTACCAATAATAGTTCCAACAATTATTCTATTTTCTAACACCGAAATGGTGAGTATAGTTGTATTTATCCTGATATTCAATAAAATATTCGGTAAAAAATGGCGGGTTAAAAATTAGGTTATTTTTTCAGTCTCACACAATTTTGCTCGTACAGCCTGGTCCAAGGCCTGAAACGAGAACCTATTCCGACTACGACAGTGTCAATGACTGTATGGAAGGTGTCTGCAAGATTTACGAAGAACATTTGAAGCGGCGAAACCCTAATACGCCTACGATAACGTACGACATATCACAATTGTTCGATTTTGTTGATCAGGTATGTTTGTGTTTGATTTTCAATGTTAAGTATACTTAGATAAGGCTCTAAATTCATAATAATGCTGAGTGCAATGTTGATAAATGTGGGATATCTAGACAGGCTTTCAAATTTGTGTATAATATGGAACGTAGGTATCACATGGTCCTTTTCTTGATTAACTTTACTGTCCATAAGCAAATTTTCGAGGTTTTTTAATAATAAAATTTTAAAAACCTCGAAAATGTATAATTAATACGTATATTATGCAAGCGAATTTTTGTAACGATATTGTACATAGCATAATGAAGTTTATGGTCAAAAGTGCGAGCATTCTCGAGCATGCGCGAGAATTCCGCGGAAGATTTTGGCTCGTACCTAGTTAGTATGTTATACATTTCATCATAAAGTTCATTGTTCTACGTACAATATCGCCACGAAAATTTGCTTCTATTCCGTTCCGCCGCGATATAAATTGAGCCCAAGGCTTTCAATCTAGCTGCATTTCTCGCATCTTGCAAAAAAAATTAAATTTAGTGCAATATCGAAAATCTCTGAAAATACCAGTTTCAATACCAGAAGTATCAATTAACTTAAGGGACGTTTTGTCGAAAATGAGTTACATATATCATTGAATTCGGTAGTTCCCGCTATATCAATTGGTATTATTAAAATTTAGGAATTCCCAGTGGTTTAAAATGTAGCATGTTACCCTTACAATAAAAAACCTTTAAAAAAGATGTTTAGTTGTGTCTTACATCTAACATCTTTTTTTAATGTAAGGTACATGCTACATTTTAAACCACTGGGCATTCCTAAATCTTTCGTTTATTACTTGAAAGAAGAGGAAATTTTAAGAAACTTTGCTCTAGACACAATCAAAACTGGAGCAGACAGTAAAAAGTTATAGACAGATTTATAAAAATAAAATCGTTTTTTGGCTCTCCTGAAAAACCTTGGTTTGTCCCTTACATTAATTGATACTTCAGGTGTCGGTTTCTTGAATTTTCATAGTTCAAGTTTTGGGACGAAACATATTGTGTACCTGATACTAATCTACATGCCTACACATATCAGTTACAGTGCCATTCAGAGCTCTAAAACGCAAAGATCTGAGGAGTACTTATCACCCTGAGACATAAGTTGACAAGTCCCATGTGCATGTAATTTCACCAGCAACCTTATCCTTTGAAACCGGAACACAGTGATGCTCATATTACTGATTCGCGGCAGAAATAGGTTAGGCGGCAGTACTTCCCTGGACACTTACATAATTAGCTCTACTGCTACTAAAACTACTTAAGATACTTAAGATATTAAGTTTGTGAGCTCTTTGTGAACGAGTTCATCCAGGGAAATACTGCCACCGTAGCTATTTCTGTAATGTGATGAGTTCTGATAAATTTACAGGCACATATTATGTCTTAGGGTGATGTACGCAATGGCAGGGCCCCTCAGACCTCTGTAATTGAAAGGTCTGAGTGGCACTGGAATTGTTGTGGCATGTCACTTACCACCAGGTGCACGACTTGTCTGTCAGTCGGTTCACTCATAAAAAATATCTGTAGTTAAAGTTTGTGTCTTTCTCGAGTATTTTTATTTCTACTACGATTTCAGGAGGTATTAGCAAGTCTTATGACATGTGTTATAGAAGTGTAGGAACGTATACTCAGTTTATTCCGATGCCTGACAATAATGAAAATGTAATTTCCAGCTGGCCGACCTCAGTTGCCTGGTATACCAAAAATCTACTAACACATATGCACCCTACAATAAGGACTGGATAAAAGAAAAAATTTATGTTTTACTACGCCAAGCAGCTGGACAGAGTGACTAGAATAGGTTAGCAAAGGTTAAGACTGAGCACAAATAAGTAATGCATAAAGTCATACGTACCCTTGATATAATAAACCATACATGATCATTCGTAAAAAAAAATAGGAACAACATGAAATAAATTATTTCTATACTCGGTCCAACTGTTTATTTAACTTTTGACAGCTCGAATTCTAATCAATTAGTCATGTCCTAATGCGTTTCCGATTCCATTTTTTTGTAACAATAGATTTTATTTATGAAGAAGTTTTAATCGTAAATGTGAGCGGGTTCAAAAAAGAAGATATTGTCTGATTGGGATCGTGATGTTGCATTTGACAATTTGTGTACTCAAGAATTAAGAATTAATGTTAATGAGGATTCAACTGATGATTCCCGTTCATATTATAATCCGAAAATTCATTACAATAAACAACAACAATTTATTACAATTATTTATAATTTATTTAATTTCATTATTATTTATTAGACACGTACCAAAATTTATCAACATCATTTACAAAATAAAAAAATCAACTTGAATAAACTTTGTTACATAATCTGTTGACTTGATAAATATCTGAGCTAAAGAGTACGACACTTCACTAAAATTAAAAAATAAAAGAGTCCACGAAGTATTGAATTTTTTTGTCTATGGTTGTAAGTCAATAATTACGGAACTTCGGAGGCATGCATTTGTCAAAAGGATGGAAAAGTGGAAAAGTGTCGTTTTTATTTTGACTTTCAATTATTTTGTGAAATCTAGTTTAAAGTGGAATAGGATAGTGCTATTGTGCCTTAATCGAAGATTGAAACGCGAAATTATACGAATCTCGAACTAAAATACCCGTATCGGCCCGTTTTAAGGAATCCCGAGTCAATCCAAGCACGCCGCCTCAAATTGCCTATCCTCTTTGTGGCGGCCATATTTACAGAAACATAATTAAACTTCATGTTTAGGCTGATGGCTTTGCCAAAGCCTTAATAAATTTAAAAAAAAATCTATAATTACGGAACTTCTGAGGCATACATTTGTCAAAAGTTGAATTAATGGTTGGATGGAGTATATGTGAAATTTTAAAACTCCCACATTTAAGCAATAAAGTTATTGACTAATTTTGTTTGTACAATTTTTAAGACTCTTTTCTTAATAGTTGTCATTTTACAGATGTGACTTTATTATACCAGGGATGCGAATTATTTATGTTTAACCGAGACATCTTGTAATAATTCACTTCATTACAATTTTCAGGCGAAGTTTATAAACATACGTAACTGTAGTCAAAAAGTTCAATTTCGAATACAATGTTATTGTAACTTTATCAATGTGTATTTTGTGCTATTTCAATAAGATATAAAATTCAATGCTCTAAGACCAACCTCGGAGCATCATGGCGCATTTCTCTCCTGTGGCATTGACGAGCACGCTAGAAGATAACGCGACGTAATCCACCGGCACGCGCCAGGGACGTTTTGACTACGTAGTGGTGGAACGGAATAACATCCGAGCGACTGGAGCATGGTGCATTTAGCGGACTCTGGGGTTCGCTGGTGGACGCTCGGAGTGTCATACGGGATTTCCCTTATCAGTGTGCGCTGGCGAGCACAAAACCCTCTTCAATACGCTTAGTCTAGAGACAAATGAATAATTTGTGGTGGTTCCTAGCTTCTTACTTGTTACCACCATTTGGCAGCTGACTTTCCAATTATTACCCAGGGCCTGTCTTAATTTGAAAGTCGATCTGATGTTTAGAGTGAATTTTTATACGTATTGAAACCCATTAGAAAAGGGTAGTTGATGTTTGTGAGGCTCGAGGGTTGTGTCAGGATAAAGTGGCGTTCCATGGTCTCTGCTTACCACTTCTGTGGGACTAGAGCGTGAGCTTATGTATGTATGAAGCTCATTCACTGTGTTTAATTTCTCAAGTCCATTCATTTGGCAACGCGTAATGTCGGCTAACTTCGAAATAAACCGGTTTCTGATACCTCCAGCGTTTTCTATTCGCTTAATGCTCAATTTATATAATTATTAGTATTCGATGTTTATCGTGGCGATGGTATCGTTGAATTGGATTATGTTGAAAAACGATGTGTCAACAAGGTCAGGCTGAAAATCAGTACCGTGCGGCATATAGCCACAAGGATTATACTGAGCCTGTTCCTTCCACGCACTGTTGTTGTTCCCACAATATTATTATGTTCTGTACATACGTATTACTGTGTGTGGTAAATAAATGGTTTAAATTTACATCCCTTTGGAAGGGAATGGAATAGCTGCAAATTTTTGTAACGGTAATTGTACCTAGTATAATGAATTTTATGTCAATTGTGTATGTCCTGCGCTTGTCAATCCGTGCTTGTAAGAGAGAGAGGGAGATTTTGTTATGTTACAAAAATCTTGCAAATAAATATCAAGCTTTTTGTCCGGACTACTCAAATTTTGGAATTCAGGGTCAAGAGCACGTCAAGCTTGACACTGAAGCTTTAAATTTAACTCTAAGCCGCTTGCAATAAGAACGGTCCAAAGTCCCAAAGTGTTAAGCTTGATGTGCTCTTGACTATACGTTACACAATTGACATAAAATTAATTATGCTATGGTTACTAAAATTGGCTTCCATTCTCTTCCTTAACGATGTAAATTATGCGTAAATAATATCAAGTAGCTTATAAATGCAATGAATGTAAAGTATTACACGATATATTATGCTCCGTCTTAACCTAAGTTTATTAAAATCCAATTGACACTTGTATTTTCTAATTGTGTTGTTACTGCATTCAAATTTTCATAAAAATGGAAATAAAGATTTTTGTTGTACAACCCACTCTATTAGGTTCTATTTACATTACTGTGGAATGGCATGGAAGCAATGATCTATATACAAAAAAAAAGCATGGAAGCCAAAGTTTGTAACGAAATCGTGTAACGTACGAACTAACTGGCTTGCTGCTTTGTTAACGTCAGGTTTTAAACGTGTAAAAACCGATTATCGTCCGGAATCGAGGACAAAAATTATTTCCGCCAAAAATGCTATACAAAAGTTTGCTTCCATTCCATAGCACTATAAATGTAACCTTAGTACATAGATAAAATACATCTAACTGTATTTTATAAATACACATTTGTATTATTTGTTTCTTTATTTAAGAATTTTTGGCACACTGTGTCTAAATTCGTCATACCAAATTTTTTCATGTGATCCCACATATGGTTTGTATAATGCATAAGGCAAGTGTAGTATTCAGCCTTTGGTTTTTTACGTAAAGTCGAGTCTTACTTTCAGGGCCTTGATTTTGATTGCCTCTCCCCTTGACCTACCAATAAAGCCTCTCCCGATCGGAAACTCCGTCTTTTCCGAGTCGAGGCGATAATATTGCGAGTGGGCTATCACAGATTTGATCGATTACAATTTGAATTAAAATCGGGGCCCAGGGCTACGTAGAGGCTGTAATTTAAATTCTACTATTATGTACTGATAAGCCGAAAAGCGCTATCTCAATCGGAGTAAGTTTTGAGAAAATCGACTTTTTGTAAATTGTATTTTCGCATTTAAATCTTTTTGAAGATGTTAAAACTTATTTATACTTATTTTTGACTAATAGATTTATTGACATACCTAAATTATACATAAAATGTATTGATTGATTGACTATAAAGAAAGGTTTCAAAAATTGAGATTTAAAACACTACTTAATAGTTTTTTAAATGTTTTAAGTTAGATAGTGCTATTTCTATTATACCATTAGATGCGAAATTATTATAGCTATTGAATGGTATAGAAAAATGCAAAAGGGCGTATCTCAGAGATAGCGCCTTTCGGCTTAGCAGGGCAGTATTATCGTATTAAGACCCGTTAAGTCGAGAACGATGTGCTTGTACACCAGCACAAACAGATTTTACGAAACGTGGCCAGTTTTTGTCACGCGGACAAATGTCACGACCTACTGTCATGCAGCAATTGCACGAGTATGGGCTTTTGAGACGGCATGTACATTTTGCCGTGTTACATTACATCGCACCGCATTACATTGTAACAAATCGACACTTCCAATGACCACTAGGCCAACTTTTTTTATGTCAGTTTCTGTTATTTTTGTAAACAGTCATATTTATTTACTAATATTATGCCCCCCAAATATTGTGACAAAAAAAACAAGGAACAAAATAAAAACAGAACAGGTCCAGAAATAAAGTTGACGTAGTGGTGATTGGTGGTATCGAAATGTGTACGGCGATGTTGTACTGTCACGCTGTGTACAGACTGTAGTTGATCAAGCTTCACTAATTCCAATTTCTTTATAATGGCTTCATCAAATTTCATGATGAATTGGGTCCAATTCAGAAGTCCAACAAAAAAAGAAACGTCAAAATCGGTTCACAAATTATCGTGTAACATGCATTGGGACAGCAAAAGTTGGTCAAATTTAATTTAAAAAAATCATATAAAATTAATAACATTTTATGAAATTTGGCCAACTTCTGATGTCCCGATTTTTTCGTCCCATACAATGAAATGATCCCTTCATAAAAGTGAGTCGATTAGCACTAAAAAAAATGTTCCTAAGACAATTTCCTTGTATTTTCTATGGTTTCGGATTTCCCGTCATTCTCATTCAAAAAATCTGTATAATGTGAGAATAAAAGCAAAACCTATTTCACACAAATTCCGGTAGACGGGTTGTTTTCGGCCTTTTTATGGGGGACTGTGAACGTATTAAACACGGCTACAACAGGAGCTTCTGTTTTTGTTGAATAATAGACCTTAAAATCCTCGACATAATGGTAACAAAGGTAAGACTCGAGACTCGACGTTACGTTTAAACCAATTGAAACTGAAAGAGATGGTACAGTTGGCGAAATATTATTTGCACCCATTCGTGCTATCGCTTCATCTTTATAATACAATAGAATAAAAGAATGCACCGTCTCGGTAACACTTGTGCCATCTGTGTAGTGCAAACAACTAATTCAAACACTTTTATGCATTGACACTTATTCTAAACTTGATAATCTTTATGTGGAACTAACTTTGTTGGATCAGCAAGAGTCTGCAGTTGGTATTTTACAAAATACTTACAGTTTAAAAAAACGACCTAATGAGTAAAGACATATAAATTTTTATTGAATTGATATTCAATT